CATTTATTTTTAATTAATTTGTAAAATGTTCTACAATTTGACATAAAAAACATAAGTTAGAATTTCTCATTAATACTTAATTTTTTGCAGATAAATTATGCTCCTATTGTTATATAAAGTTGGCAGTGCAACAACCTAAAACAAAAGCAAGTAGACAAGTAAAGTATGTAATTTTTAAACGCCTTTATTTAACTTGACGTGTAATATGTCCTCAAATTTCATCCGCTTCTACTTAAGATAGAAGGCCGAAACTTCGAGCACAACCTAAGTCCGACGACAATGCATCTTAGTGATATTTTAGGATGGTTCTGCCCCACGAACCTTTCTCATTCGAAACCTGTTAAATGTAACCAAGTTAAAATTTAACTTTGTGTGTAAATGCATTTTACTGATGTAAATGGCCCATCTTCACCCCAATCACAACCAATAAAAGCATTTTTTTTTTTTGAAATTATTCTTTTACATTTAAGGATCAGTTATTTGGGAAAATTTGCAAGTTTTCGCAGTCGATACTTCACATAAATCGAGTCCAAATTGCCATTTCGACATCTATCATTAGTTAAAATGAAAATGGAACAATAAGTATGAAATTTCTATTTTAACAGTCAAGTGTGCCAACTTGTAATAGAATGATTTGGTACACCTTGGCATGTGCTGCTTGGGATACTGACCTCTGATGTATTGTAACTAGCATTAAGCAAGTTTTATTTACTTTAATGGCATGCAAATCATTTTCCTTCAACTGGCACACTTAAATGTGCGAACCGACATTTTCTTAATTAGTGTCCCATTTATACATTATGTTGTTTTATTAAGCAGTTTCTTTATATAAATATGCTTTTGTTTGAGAAAGAAACTGCTTGGAAAATGTATATTTCTGATCGCATTAACGAGAGTTTCAGATTATCCAAAGTTCTTTTTTTCTGATGTATTTTTTATGTTAATGTGGTGTTCTTCGTATACTGTAGCTGGATGGGCTCATTGTATTGTCTTGGTATGACTGACGCTCCAGTTGGTTTTTAAAAACCGACAAACTCGGTTCACTTATGTGGGATTTGTAAACTCTTTGATTATATAATGGGTGGCCAAACCTTGTTACGGTAGGAGCCATGTATCATCTATCAGAAATACGTGAGAGCTTCATCTTATACTGGAATGGTATTTTATACATAACCTATATATAGAGGAATAGCATTAAAGTTGGACTAAAATCCATAAGTAATAAGGGGAGGAGTCCAGGAGCTGCAGTAAGGGTATAGAACAGCTGCAGTTTGGTTGCCGTGGTTATGTAGGAAGGAGGAAACAGTCAACTAGCATTTGTTTTATATTTTGATAACAAATTTTTAATTTACTTTGAAACTTTATACACATAATTTATTTCGGGCGGTGCAAGGTAAACACGATGGCCCCATATTTTCTTTGGCGACAGGAACGAGAAGAGATCCAGAATTTTTCGGCCATTCAGATTAATTAGAATTTTGGATTATCAGGGTTCAGATTAGAAAGGTTCTGCTGTAATTACAAATAAAATTTAAAAGATTAGTTTAGCTAATCAATCATTATAGAATCAGAATTATCACAAATCATTCATTAAGCTAATTCTACACAATGATTCTGCTTATGCTTACTTAAACGGCATATAAATCACTTTAAATGGCATATTTAAGTGTCTAAACAATTAATATCACTGACACAATTTAACCAATTAAAAAGAAAAACAATTTAAATACTGGTACTTATAAATAATATATCTTTGATACTGAAATTATAAATATAATTTGGTTGATTTGCTTGTAAAAGTGAAGATGACAGATACACTTGCACACACATCAATACTCTAGTATTATATTATAATCAATATGTTATATGTATTATTGTAAATTTAAGCTAAAAATATATTATATCATATAAAGTATTATCATCTATTGACTATATTAAATATAAATTATTATATTATAGAATGGAAGCAGATATGAGAATCAAACAAGCACAGAACAAAATGGTTAAAGAACATTTAGTTAAAAGAAAAATGAAAAATTTACCAAAAAGATGAGGTAAAAGTTTAAAATTTTATTAATTTTAAAATACAGTCAAACCTCAATACAGTGCTCACATCATAAAGTGCCAGTGAATAATCATGAACATATCTTCTCATAAATATTAGAGAAATTTTCAGTATCTTGAATAATTAAATGTATAACAATCCACGAAACCTTTTTATAACAGTGTTGTCTCCATTTTCGACCTCACGAAACCTTTTTATAACAGTGTTGTCTCCGTAACAAACTTCACGAACGTTTTCGACTTCCATCGAGGTCTGCTTCAGGTGGTGATTATGTTTTCGACCTCCACCGAGGTCAAAAACGTTCGTGAAGTTTGTTACAGAGACAACACTGTTATAAAAAGGTTTTGTGGATTGTTATTACTCAACGCAGTGTTAAGTTATTAGAAGTCATTTTGAATTAAATGTATGATTTTAAATTGCAAATGACACTTGGATTCTCAAACTTGTGTGTAAACATCATTAATGTATATAATTTTTATTGTTTGAGATATTTCAGCTTACTGCCACACTCAGTTTAGTGTCAGTTTCAGAATTAAACAAATGGAGGCACTAATTTGAGGTTTCTGTTTACATGCACGTGTGTTATTGTTCATTTCTTATTTTATAATCAACAGGATTGTAGCAATCACGGACGACCTGAAACTTTCACGGATTTGGAAAACAGAGAGAATTCCATAAAATTTTCATTAAAATTGCTGCTCTGTGTTAAATTAAATGTTATATGCTTTCTTTTAAAATAATTGATTACCAGTAATTAACACATCGAGCAAGCAAAATTTCATGTATGTGTGATTTATAGGAGTTTTCTTAGGCAGCTAACTTCGGCAGATTGACAAGTGTATTTGAAAACTAGTTTTATCAGAAACTGCACTCACATTTAAAATAGATTAGTTTGCTCAGTCTAATATCTTCTGAGCACTCGGTGAACAGCCATTAAAAAGTAATTCTCGGTTTACAGGGGTTAGGTACCTGTATTGTTGATGATGTATGCTGTTGTAGTTGAGCATATGCACACTAATATGTACATTTAATTGAGATTAAATAGAAAGTAACATTACAGACTTCTATCCAACAGTTTGTACATTTTTGGTTCGGGCCAGGTAGGTATATTTTATGTTGATGTGGCCAAACCTTTTAGCATTTTCATGTTCTCTCATCTTAGTTTTTTGCTACATTATCCAAAATAACTCATCAAGTCATTTAGCTGATGAAAATCTGTTATCTGATTAAACTATATCTGTACAAAATATATTTTTAATAGTAACACAAAGATAGGCTATAACAAATTTGGCTATAGATAAGCCTAACCACCTACCAATGGCCAAATTACTTTATTTCTAATTGTTAAATTAGCCTTGTTACAGCTTGATATTCTGGCTATAACAAGGCTAATTTAACAGATCATAATTTAATTTTTTTAAAAACAGGGAATGTAAATTGTAGAATTCTGTTGGATGGCAATTATCTTCAATTTTATTCAAAGAAAGTGAAAAGTAAATTACAATTTACACTGAATGAGCGTTACAGTATTTAAAACAGAGTTAAGCCAGGTATACACGTATTGTATACCTGATGTAGATGAAAAAACTGACAGTTTCATCATACCAGTATGTGTGTACTTGGCTTTAAAAATACCTAAAGCAAGAGACAATTTTAAATATGCATGCAAAATTGCAGTACAATATGAATTCACTTTACTTCATTTATTTATGAATATACTTTGTGCAGGATGTCCGAATCAAGACTGACACATTTTAAATCTTTACCAAAATTCAGGTCATAAAGATAAATGCGTGTAATATATTGCATGAGGATGAGCAACTATGTAATTTTTCCCTTGAATTAATTGAGGAATACAAAGTAATTAGTTTTGGCATTGTGGTTGCAATTGTCAAAATAGCAACGCTCGAGAGATAGTGCAAACTACATGGTGATATATTGAGACAAATACCATTGTGCGAGTGCAGAAAAACTTTTTTCGTGTATTTAGAAAGGAACTGAAATCACAAAACACTGTCAAGGCACAGAAAGAAACAGTTTCTGTCCATGAGAAGTCTGTTGAAAGGTGACAGATGAAGGAAATCCAGCTTGTTGGATGAGAATGTGGAGGCAATCAGGAAGTTTCCTAATAAAGCCTGTAGAAGTCCATTCATCAGACACCTGCCAGCATCCAGATATATCATGCCACAGACGTTGCAGAACGCATGGCAGGAAATTGAATATCATTTAGATATTATCCATGCAACAGGAAGAGCGGATGAAGATTTCATAATTTTGTTTGAAAGTAGAAACTTTGTAAGTTTGTCTTCAAATTGCATATCTTACTTTTATTGTAGTTATTATCTAATTTTACTCTTTAGTCTTTCAAAATGTGTCAGTCTCAATCTGGATACCTTCTATAAATTGATTATGAACACTCCATACTACTGTATATGTATGAATACAACTCGTGTACAAATATTATTGACAAGACTTTAAAATCAATAATTTTGACCACATTCTAATATTAAAGTCTTGTTATAATCTATAAACAAAAAAAATTTGCTTTATTGTCTTAACGTTGCATTAGATAACAGTTTCTTGAGCAATTTCACATACTAAGTCCATCATCAGACAATATAAAAGTGAACGAGTGACTTGGTTATAAGTCACTTGTTTATGAGCGAGCTTCAACGAAACAGTTTTGTAATTAATTTAAGAAACTAGAGTTACATTCATTAATTTTTCTGGGTTAACTGTAAGTTAGGAAGTATAAAAATTCAATTAATAGTTTATATAAAAGTGATAGCAGTTTGTAAAATAACTTATAATGTAACATACACTCGCAGACATTCTGTAACAAGTATACTTTTACTATATTCAAAAACACAAGTATTAAATATTAATGTGTAAATCGGCTGATGTGTAGAGGATTTTTAAAAAAATAAATTCCTTCTGCCCATAAGCAAAACTAGAGAATTAAATTTCATCCTAGACTGCGTGACATAACACATGTAAACAATACATTTCATTTTAATTATAGTCACACAAAGTAGAGTTTATCAGAGTTCATCTGAAGCAAAGTGTTCTTTCTCGAGCATACTTTCAAGCGTTGCAAAGAAGCCCTCTCGATGTTTTGTTGTAGAGTTGCCTTGAATCTCAGCCAATACATGCTACTGGATGGTATATATAGTCCTTCTACACTGTCTGGCACCAGTGTCTAAACAGTGAGCTGTCCTGTACTAATATTTCTTCTGATTGACTCTCCTTGATAAAAATAGCTCTCCCTGATCATACTGCTGTGAACCCTAACTCTGTTGAACTTAACTACTTTAATTCATGTATATGTTAAGTTTAAAATGTCTGGAGCCAGTGAAGGGAAAAAGGATAGTTTTAAACAAATTTCCTTTCTTCTTTTTTAACATTTTAATGTTTTAAACTATTCTATAGGAAATATAAGAGCCTATAAAACAGGTAAATATATTAATTTTTTTATGTTTAAATTTTGGCAAGTGCTTACTTAATTAGCGAGGAATTTATTGATAATTTCGATTATTATCTTTCTAAAATTTATTTATCTTGATGTTTTTTTTTTATCCAAAATGTAAACAATTCGATAATTGTTTAACCAATTATTATAAAATCGAGAAGTTCCGTCGGCGTCCCCTCAATTTTTATAATAATTCAAACAGATGGGCCCCACAGAGTATACAGAAATACAAAGCTTTTGACATTTATATCTAATAATAAACATAAATACCGACAAAAGTATGCATTTGACTACTTAGTTATCCACACCTACATAAAAATTATATTTAGTTCTCTCTGCTTAAATATACAAAAATCGATTTTTTTCTTCTTCTTCTTATGCTGATAACATCAATAAATTTACATGAATTGGAAAAATTTATGCATAAATAACTTAAATAATTTATATAGAAAATATTTAGATGACCCAATTTTTTTCTTAAATCCAGAAATAGATTGGTTTATCTTAAGTTTAGATGAATCATAGGACCTTTTTTTTTTTTATTAATTGGAATTTTAAATATTTATATATAGAAGTCAACTTCATTATCAAGGCAAAAAGAAATAAGAATTTGTACATTTAGCTCATACAGTTTTAGATGTTTAATTATGAATTACTTGCAGGGAGTATCTTTTGTCAGCAAGCCAACGTTTAAGAAAGAGATGTGGTTCAGTATATTTTTTGAAAGCAGACCGAATACACTTCCACATGTTCTTTTGTACAAAAGTCATTAACCTTTTCGTTCGAAACTGTCAACAGAAAACTATATGAAACTTGTAAGGAAAGAATGAAATTTCACATTTATTTCGGGTGAAATTTTGCAGTTTTTCTCAGGTAAAATTTTTCTTTGAATGTAATCTGTTTAATATGATGTAATGTTTCAAAAATACACTTCTTTTATTACACGTGGAATAATTATTCTTACACATAAATCGCATTCCGCACATCGGTAACCGACTTCCGGCACTTCCTTTCTTCTCTCAAACACAATCATTTACTGTTCATTGATGACAACATAAAACAATTCATTAGAAACTTAATGCTGAGTCAGTTGCTAATCATAGATTTTAAGCATTTAGTATTTAAAATACAGAAATATGCAGTTACATTTAATTCTATTAAATTTAAAATTTAAACATAACAATAAGTTTTTATAAAATTAATACTGGCTCCTATAAGATCACTGGAGTTATTAAGCATTGGTTAGTGATTGCAGGGAAGACTAAATTCTGTTGTTAACTCCATCTACAGCTTGGTGGTTCTGGTCAGTCCATTATAAAAGAGGAATTTGATAGGGTCATGAAGGATATCCAGCTGTAAAATGTCTGCTGCTGACCGTCCCCATACAGAGAATAGTTGCACTCTGTATCAAGAACAGACTAAACAGAGTGAAGATGTCTCACTCCACTCATCCGAAATTAAATGGAAGATATTTGAAAAGGTGATACGGCTGTAAAACAAAGTCATATCAGGAAGAAAGCAGTGACTTTATGTAAAATGGGACTTAAGATACTGGAAGGAGGAAGAGAGGAAAAGAAAAAAATGAAAGGATTTAAAACCTATAAATTTATGCATCAATTACACACAATCCTTCAAACTTCTAAAGATTGCTTATTGCTGGAATAAACTGATATTACACTAGGTTTAGTGTAAACATATTTATTAGTACATACATAATATATAATCCATGAAAGTTCTAAACTGTTAATGTCTAGCAAAGGATTTACAGGACAAATGTCCCCTCAATTAACGCGGTTAATTAATTAAAACTTCTGTTTATCACAATTAATTTTGCATGTTAATCAAATCCTGCATTGAGCAATGGTTATCTGTACTTTTAGCAGCTTTCGTTTGATTATGCACCCAAATTCTGTAATTTTAAAGTTTTTCAAATTATATACAAATTTATTTTAAGTTCAAAATATCCAGTTGAATGTATATTTGAATAATATAATTCATAAATTAATTACGTATATGTAACATTTCACATAGTCTATACTTTAAATTCTGCTCCATTGGCCTATTCTTATTCACAAAGCATAAATTTAGTGCTTTCAAGCTTACTATTTAATTGAATACATTCAAAGAAGATTTGAGTGTATTGATTTAAATGGCAAACTGCCACCCTGAAGAAAAACTTTATTTGGATCAATTTCTGCTACTTTAAAATGGGTGAAATGACGTTGTAACAAAGGTAATGGCCTCTTGTTTTGGTTTATTTAGAACTATTTTTATATTTTAAAGAAATAGTTCTTTTTCCTTTTCCTTTGGAGTGTGCTGTGGCCTCTTGATCCCTTCTGGGTGCATCACTGATTACTATTGTTTAAAAACAAATAGAAGACTATATCAGATGAATAATTGAAATTGAATTTACTGCAGTAACCTTTTGATCCAGTAAAATTATAGCAAATAATATTATTCTAGAACTTGGTGAAGGCTTTCTAGATAGCTAAATATGTCTGTTTTATAATTTATTTTCTATATATTACATTCTATAAAGGGAGAAAGGTTTATAGATATTAAATGCAAATCGTGCTTTACACATACATGCACTTCACAAAAATGTGCACTAACTAAAACATTTGGAACATTTGAATGTATATTGTAGAAAGTTGCACCTTCCAAATATAGAGAAAAAGACACAGAATCGAGTTGCATAACTTTCCAGGCGAAACAGTTGAAATTGCACGTGCTGCAAGATTTATAAAATGCATACAGCTTAATTTTGAGGGTAGAGAAGAGTTTTGTAAAAAATTGTAAATGCTAATGAGTAATATCTAACCCCATTCGAGATAAGACGTGCGACCCCCTCTACCTTCCCACTCCTCGAACTTTTTCCACCAAAATTTAATAGCATGGATCCCCCTCTAATATACAAACCTCACTGCAAAATTTCAGAAATTTTCGACAAAAAGTACAGGGATTGTTAACAGTGGCACGTTATCCTATGTGCAATTGCTTGGAGCCCCCATCAACAGAGGACCCGAAAACAAAGAAGAAAATAGTTCCTCAAAACATTTCCCCAAGTAAACTATCTTAAATCAGCACTGTCCACGGAGCCCCCTAATTCAAATTCGCCTGGACCCTATGAAGCTATAACACGCCACTAGTTATTAATCTTCAAACGGGGTGAATAAAATCGTACCCCAAGCGTTGAGTTTACAACCAACCAGATTTAACAACAATAGGTTAAAAAGCCCAACAGCGAGTTGTGTAACTTGGCAAAAACACTTAAAATTGCGCGTGACGCCATCTGTTATGATATTTTAGAAGTTTTTTAATATATTATCATTATAAAAAGGCAAAAAGCGTAAGAGTTTAAAAAAAATCGTAATGATCTCCTCTGTCTCCCCACTCCCTCGACCTACCACAAAAATTTGATAACATCAATCCCTCTAATTACATTATGGCCAGTTACGTTTCACCCTGAACTAATTACAACACGCTCTGCGCTTACAATTACTCTTATTGTTACTTGTTTTTTTTTTATATTCGACTGTTAGAAATATGCAGCTTCAGCCATACTTTAAATTCAACGGGGGGACTGTTTAGCTGGATTTTTTTCCATTGTTTTGCCTTTCGTTACGTATAGCGCGTGTAAATTAAGAGCTAAAATGAATTGTAATATATACTTACTTCAGTTAACTGACTTTTGGTTCACTCTAGTTTCTCTAAAAGGAACCTTTATTATATGTAATTAATAAATATTTTTAAGGATTGCTCCTTATCCTGAAAACTATAAAAACAAATCATGAATTTCTGTGATGACACGGTGTGATAAAATTATCATGTTTAAGAAATGGTATGATACTAGCACAAAGTTAAAATTCTGTGTGGCACCATCTAGTAGATGCTATTAAAATAAAAATAACTTTCATATTATTAATTATTATAGAAAGGCAAACGGCGTAACTTCGAGGATAGAGATTGGATTAGAAGGAAATGTAAATTCCAATGACGAGTGACGCCCCTCGACCTCTAACTACCAAAATTTAATAGTATCGGTGCCCCTAATACTAATAAACTTCCCTGCCACTGAGCTCTCATAAGTTTTAAATGTGGCCCTTGCATAGAAAAATGTTGCTCATCCCTGCTTTAGGTCATTTCGTCCTAGCGCTTGCATTTCTTTCACTTTGTCCCTGCTACAAACATTTCTTTAGGAATCATCCGTAAATTACATAATGCCGTTTTTATACTGTTACTTTTCAACTGCCGTGTAATGCTATTTCACGTATCCAACCCTAAAATTACGTAACATATCTTCGATCGACCGTCTTAATTGTACTAAGGAACAGGTGCGTGTAGTCGTTAATTAATGAAAAAGTTCCAGGGCGCAAATCGGAGCACCGGTTTGTCTATGGAGGCGCCACCATCTATGGAGTTTTGTATGGGAAAAGTACGACTTTGTGATGCAATATCTGCAAAACGGCTTAAATGCACCTATATATTCGTAATCAGAAGTAATTTTCTTAGTTTTTGGCTGAGGTATATAGTCTCAAGTCCAACCTAGATGTTCGCAAAGTACCCTGCTTTAAAAAATACCAGGGCGCTCCCTAGTAGGCCCTGAATGCACGAGGTACAAAATTAATCGTTCTGTTACCCAGAATCGAGACACTGGTATTACGTAACGCTTCTGTAAACATCTCCAACTCTTGTAACTCATTGCAATGGTTACATGAATACCCACCCGTAAACACCCACGTAACTGATGAACGCAGGTAGCTACGGTTACGAACGTAACGTACGCTTATAGCATAAAATGGCTACGCTCTACGAGACGACCCTAGCGACAAAATTTGGAAGTAAGAGCTTCCATCTTGAAAACAATGTACGAAACGGAAGTAGTCGTACAGCAGGATCGATTTAGTACGAAAGGACACGTGAATAGTGTGAACTAAATGTTAAGCACACACACAGTAAGATGTGTATTTCTCGTTTACTATGTGTCGTATGTTGTGTAACGCTCACACAAGTCGGTTTATAAGGACTTTATCGTCTTTAAGGAGCTTTTATGATATAAATCTATTAGGCGAATCTGTCCTTCTCAAAATATTTTGGCTTCCGTAAGCGTTCGTTTAATTGAAATTATATATTTAGCCCTGTGTAATTTTGAAAAATAGTAAAGGTTTTTTTTTGCATTTCGTTCATAAATAAATCTCTTGGAATCTTTTCAATATGAGGCTCTGGAGTATTCGTATAAATGCACTTACAGTGATCCCGAGCTATAAGAGGTCCTTTGCCTTCCGCGAAATAATAAATTGCGCGTAATGGCGTAGGATTTCACGTTTTTGTGGCCATTGAAGTAAACAGTGAAAATTGCAGGCTATGTACGAGCGCATGTTTTTCACTGCGCATGCAGTACAAACTTTGAAGCATCGTTCGAAGTATGAGATACCATTCTATTCAGCGTAGCTTTATCCTATGAGTAAAAAGGACAATTTCCTGTGGTCCCAACTAATAGTGGGCCTCAAATTAATCTTTTATCAAACTCGTTACTGTAGTAACAGCATCGAAATTTAAATTTGGTGCCATATAGATTGCCTATGTGGCGCAGGCAATCCTACAATATTTTTACACTTGTGGCCTCGGCAGACCATTGAGAAATGCAAAACATTGGGAGTATTTTCTTTGTGTGCCAATGTTTATTTGTTTCTTTGTGTTTGTTTGGGTGTGGTATGATCTTCTTCACCCAATTTCAAGCTTAATAACTCCTGCGCTTTTTGTCGAAAATTTCTGAAATTTTGCAGGGATGTTTGCATGTTAGAGGCATTGATGCTACTAAATTTTGGTGCTTTACTCCATGGGGTGTCTCCTATTTTCCAAACTTCCAAATTTTCGATGGACAAATATGAAAAATCCGTTTTAAATATAAATCTTATTTACAAAATATGAATTTTGAACGCAGCTCGCAGAAATGGCTTCTTTGAACCAGTTTTTAATGCTAGTCTCGGCCGAATGTGTCAAACAAAGGAATTAACATACATTCAAAAATAGCACGGATGTGCCAAAGAATGCAGTTTGGCTCCGATGAGCCAATGTTTCTAAACTTGTGCAAACTGTTTTGTTAAATTAAGAGTCATTTTTAAAGATCTGTTCAGTAATATATTTATAGATGCGGCTAGTCCTCGGTTAATTCGTTCCTCGAAAGTGGTATATTAAATTCCATATTCGGGACCTTCTTCGGAACTGCGTTATATCGAGTGTAAAAAAATGACCGCAGTTAACGAATGTCAGTAAAACAAAAGTGCAAAAGTTATTCGATTGATTCAGACTCCTCTGCATGACCTTGCTCATGAAGCCATGCAGAGAAGATTCACTAAGTTTACTCCACCCATTTTTTGACTGTGTCCATTCCCTTTGATTGACGAAACAAAATACGCGTTTTGTATTAATTCAGATAAGCTCCAGGACTGTAATATAAACAGTGCCAATTATTTTTCGTAAGATTCGCGATAGGATTTGGCCCCACTAAAAGGGAAGTCGGGGTACTCCTGCCTCCCCTTTTCCGTGTTTAGTGGCCGAGTGGTTTTATCCATTCGGCCACTAGACACTTCACTCAATCATTTACAATTAAAAGAAAAGCATTTTACATATTACAATATTTGTATTTAGAACACTTTTTATACTATTAATTCTAATAAAATGGCAAGGAGCTTAATCTTGAGGGTAGAGAAGAGTTTCATAAAAATAAACTGCAAATGCTAATGAGTAAAATCTTTAACTCCGATCCCCGCTCGAGATACGGCGAGTGACTCCCATCTATCATCTCATCTCTTCGATCTTTAACCGCCAAAATTTAACAACACAAACCTCCCTAATATACAAACCTCACTGCAAAATTTCAGAAAATTTCGACAAAAGGCACAGGAGTTATTAAGCTCTGAATTGGGTGAACAAATTCGTAACTCCCCATACACACTAACATCCATATAGCTTATGCAAGAAAAAACACAATTTTTTATATTTCTTGATGTTTTAAATCCAGTAAATGCCACGTGAGTAGCGCGAACCCACTACTAACAATTAGTATTCGGTGGTTTTATTCACTCGGCCACTGACGGGTGCTCTTCTAGTTTGTATATCCTTGTTGCTGACCTCTTCTATTGTGTAAACCTGTACTTTGGCTTCTGTATACTATGGTATTTTAACTATACGCATATATATATATATATATATATATAAAGTTTTTAACAGCACCTTACGTTCCTTTTACGTGGGCTCTGTACGTGGCTTTGCACGTGTCAATGAGTTAACAAATCCATGCCATACATTCTTCAATATTTTATGTTTACATTCGCAGAATGTGGTGCCAGTTTGCTTTACAATCGAGATGAAACATGATAGGGTCAGAAAGTGCTAACCTGCTGACGTCATTTTTATTAGCCGTTTATATTAAGGCAATAATCTGACGAAAATTAGAAACGCTGCTTTTAAAGCCTAATTAATTGTGACGACATTGTATCTGTCGGAAGTCGGTGGAAACAATTTAGGAAGATGGACCGTTTCTAACCGTAAAGAATCCGGTTAAAGTTAGCAACCTCCTCGTTTTGTTGGAACCGGACCAAAGTTTTGTATTTTGGCCAACTAATGCTTTCCTGTATGCAAATGCCGCTCGTTGTCGTCACACTCACAAGGCTGTTCACAAAGAAGGATCACGTGTCACGCAATGACTCTGAGTTGAGGGATTACCGAGGGAACAATGAAAAAATGAGAACTACTTAAATTTGAAATAGGTTCTGTTAGCGTAGTTACTGCAAAGGTGCCACAGATGAGGTAAACGCTATGCCTAATGGTTAGAGGAAGGTGAAATTACGTATCCACGTTCAAATTAGCAATATTTAATTGTGTATAATGTGTAAAAGAAGGCAGAATAAATAATAACAGAAAATACACTGAAATAATGTGCACGGGAATCATCGCATTGGTCCTGGAAGGTTGAGGTTTTGGGTATTTTTTACATAGTTTCATCTGCAGAGACTACCCATAAGTAAATATATATCCTTATGAAATAATTTTTATGACTGTTGAATAAGAAATGTTTTTTTCCACAAGAAATGTATAAAATTACAGTACTGTATTAGACTTACAGTACGTAATTTAGGCCTATATACTGTACAGACGGTAGTAAACTCAACTTACCCGCCTAAACTCTCCATAGCGTGTAAGTAGTTCGGCTGCTCGTCCACTATTGGTCCAGATTCGACCAATCCTGTCGCGACACGAGACGGCGGTGACGTTTTACCGCATTTTACGAGTATCTTTTAGCATCTTTATACGAATACGGTTGCAGTTTTTTCGCCGCGATATACGAATCCGCATTTTATGAACCCGCGTTATAGGGGGAATCGACTATATAAACATGATACAAATGCCACTTACGCACATTTGCGGAGGAGGAGCAATGCCTCTCGAAGGATTTTCAATGGGAAAATGGCCCCTATTCGGATGTTACACACGTGAAGAAAACCCAGCCAAACTTTTTTCAAAGTTTTAACCCAGTCGGGAATGGAATCAATGTATTCTGCCATCTTGGCCCACACGGCACGCAATGTAAAGGAAGCAGATTTTTGTGAACGTCGTCACACTTCAAGATCCAGCAGATTCCAAACATGTCAGGTAACTGACTGGCCCTGGACGCTTGCGGATGCCTCGCGTTACTAACGAATTCCGTGCTTTTGGTAATGCGACGAGGAGCACGAACAGAATGGATGCTTTGTCCATGGTCCCACCGGAGAATATTTCAAGAAGACTTTCTCCGATATTGCAATGTATTTTTCGGAGTTACCACTGTTGACATTCAGGTTGTTTACTTATGGTGTTCTCATAGATTTATCAGTGATAATTCTCCAGTGATGTATGCTTTAATGCTAGCACTCAGTGACAAATGACAGCCATGATAACTGACATAAATACACGAAACCGATTACACTGTATTCGCTGTGACAGTTGGAATGTGTGTTTACGTCAGTTATCACGGCTGCCACTTGTCACTCTGGCGTTTTGGTGCAATCTTAAAACCATTCCATATCCGTTAATATTTGCAATTTCGGGTTTTTTGTTCGATGTAACCCGAAGAGGGTCAATCGAAAAATAACTTTGCTGGAACCGTCGACAGCTTGTATGGCTCCGGTTTCAGCTGACCCGTGGCCACATCCATGTGAAAGCATAATAAGAATCACTTGCAGCAGTATCTGCATTTCATTCGTGATTAGTCTTATTATTTAAGACACACTTCGTTCAAAAAACAGTCCAAGGTGGCGGGTATTTCAAATGATACTTGGCGATCGAAAAATTGTAAATTCGTTCTCCTAGCGGATGCGAAGAAGTTTCAAGATGGCCGCACATTTCAGATTTTCTAGTTTAGACTATTAGGGTTATACAAGGTGGTTACAATTAAACTGACGTTACTCAGATTCACTTGGAGCCGGCGCTACTAAAAGGAATCGAATGATACGCAATATAGATCACGGGACGAGATTTAAGAGAGAAAGAATTTAATTGAATTTTTCACCACCGGGGAAAATTGGCGCCGTTTACGTCAGTCGGAAACGTATGTTTCTGGTTATGAGATGACATCGGAGGCGTATGGGAGCTGGAGCAGTTACATTGCATCAGAACTGAAGGCCAGTATAGTTTGTTTTTTCTCTAGTTCTTTCCGCCCTGTGGGCACTAAGAGTGCCTTTTATTAGCAAGCCCATTATGGGTTCGACCAGGCCACAATGGCGTCCGGGTGGTGATAGACGGGGACCGACATATCCGGACGAACTATCCCCGGACGGACGAGATCGAATCCGGACGGGCGGGTCGAAAAATCCCCAGGAATTTTTCGACTCGCCCGTCCGGATTCGATCCCGTCCCAGAGCAGTAGGCTGCCACCCTGACAGCTCTGCCATCCGGTATAGTGCCGATTCCCCCTGATACATGTTACGTGTGGCAGTTGATAATGCGATTTTTACGATTGCAACACGTGGCCAATAGAGAAAAATCCTGCATTAATCACACGCTGTAAATGTGTAAAACATGCATTCTTGCATCGCCACATTTTCCCCTGGTGATGAAAATCTCAAGTAACTTTTTCTTTTCGTAAATCTCATCCCCGTGATCTGCATTGCAGGCGTACCGGCTTTCATTCGATTCTGTTCAGTAGAGAAGGCACAAGGCATGTCTGATTACCCCCAGTTTAATTCTAACCATGTATAAGTAATTAATTTTACTTGCATGCTACTTTTACTGTTTTTATGTCGTGCTGTTTTAGCATCTATACAGAAGGTTCTAAAATATATTAATACGCGCGATCATCCTTTCATACTGTTTATTAACTTACCTTCATAATGGAAAATTTTCTCTTTATAGAAACTTCTCTTCACTGGCAACCCGACATAAAAAATTAAAACATGTTTGCTAGAAAGGAAGGTATTAATGCTTTATATCTCTGAAATCGGTTAATATTTACTTATTAACTTAAAATTCTATTAATATTTAATTAATTCTTTGTTCAATCTTGCAGACCACGTGCGAGATGGAAAACACTGCGACCTGTGTGGGTGCACCAACCCTGCCGTGCGTTGCGACAAGTGCAACAGCCAAGTCTTCTGCCTGTCGTGTGACGACATGTACCACCGTCATCCAAAACGCCGATTGCACCTGCGCAAGGCCGTGGACAGTTTCAATCCGAAACTTTCTTCCGCCCGACCGGTGACGCCCAATAAACCTCCTCCCGGTGATCCCTCCAAGATGCCGATACCCCCACCGAGAAAGAAGAAACCCAAGAATTTCTTCGGGACTTTGATGAGAGGGTCTTCGCCTAATGAAGTAATTCAATTTAATGGATTATACCTGGGATGGCCCAAATGCCAGTTAATTCAGCATTCTGGTTAACTGACGTTTGGGCCACCCTGTATTTGGTGCGTGACGTAGTTGACTGATGATTTTGCAGAGTCCCATACTTCCTAAGAAGGAATTTTCGTGGATGGATAAATTCGGTACCATAAAGAGGTTTATGAGCAACAGACCCCTACCACCGCTTCCTGCAGAGTCGTCTCCTTCACCCGAACCGGCATTTCCTGTTGGAACGATATACCAGAACGTGCCGGACAGATTAGGTAATTAAAATTTGTAAATTACAATAGATTACAACGGGTATTGTAATCTTTTCGTGTTGTAGATGGCACTCAACCGCCGTTACCGAGGATCGCTTTGCCACGTCGTCACAGCAACCCGTCGTTCGCGAACGGGACTCATCACTTGAACGGCACGGGTCCTCACCACTTGACGGATTCGGAACAGGACGAACGACCGATACCCCCGCCCAAACAGAACCAGTTTACGTCACAGGTAACGAGTTTAAACTTGGCGATTAAAGAGGGATTTCGTTTTTCTTTTGTAATTTAACGTTAAATCTTTCCAGTTGTCGAACAACGACGAACAATTGGGAATTAACAGAGCAAGAGGAAATAGTGTCGGGGAACCGGGAAAATGGGGACAAGGTTCCAAAATTCTTCCAGATTCTCCGACTCTGCCAATGGAGTATCCAATTGGGGATAAACACGTTATGAATCATCCTGGAATGATGCCTAATTATGCTACGTTCAGGAGGCTTTCGCCGCATGCGGGATTAATCAAGTCAAGAAGGTAATGAAATAAATAAAATCACCTTCGTAATAATCATTTTCCTCAAAGAAAATGCCATGCGTGATATTCACAACTTTAACACCGATCTGTAACAGCTGTAGTTGTTCTTTCTGATACGGGAACTTCCGGTCACGCGACTGAACCACAAATAACAACAAGCAGCTGCTTGAAAATATATTTAACTGTTCTTAAATGTATCTTGGTTTGCTGACTTTTGGACCACCCCGAAGTGAGAACATAAAGCCGAAGTGACACCGAATACCAGCCTTAAATAATTTAACATTTAAAAATGGTATTTTTAGCAGGCAATTTAAATATACTGTTATTAAAATTCGCAAATTTAAAAGGAGAACACTGAAAGTTTAAATTTGGCGTTATATCTGGAGATCCTGGATTGCCGGTATGGTGCACCCTACAGAAGTGGCTTTAAAAATCTAACGAGGATATCTGGGATTTTCCCCAAAAAAATTCCCTCAAAGAAAAATTTCTGAAGTCAACGTTGTACACGAGACCCCCTAATTCAAACTTGCCTGAACCCCGATATAATACGTTTTTTTCTTCTGGCAACGAGAGGATCCACCGATGCATCTCAATCCGTAGACCGCGGAATTCCCGGGCTCGAGAAATGGTACGTTAACCTTAATTATTTCGGTTATCCGGGTACGAAAGCTTCGAGAGTTCGGCACTATTCACGGCATCCGTATATTGTAACAAATACGGAAATGACGTACAGAAACAAAATGGGAAAAGCACAAAAGGCTACAGGGAAGGTCCCTCGCATGCCAGATTAGGGGCGTCAGAGATTACGTCACAATTTAAATTAATAAAGCTTGCAATAATTGAGTTTCGGATCCATTAAACCGTGGGGTACTCTTTACACTTTTAACGAGAGATAAACTTTGGAATATTCGCGTTAATTTCTTTAAATTCTCGTGTTATTTTTTTTAAACTGTAAATCTGTCGCATCACCAAAATTCTTTAATATAAACTATTATTATTATTTTTTCTCTTTAAAGCCCTTCTCCGTCTCCTACTCACGAAGGTGGCTCTTCCATGCATCAAAGCTCGAGTTTGACGGATCTAAACAGTTTGCCGGCAACACCCGGGCCGTATCCTTATTATCCTCATCATCCTCATCAGCCGTTTCTGCCCATGTTTCCGGCCCATTCTTACGCTCATCTCAACTGTCCTCAGTGCTACGTGGGCCCATGGCCACCTTCTGCCGACAACTGCGAATACTGCAACTCTTCTAACGACCCCAAGCACAAGCACGCGCACCACTCTGCTGGTAACAGAGTGAAACGAAGTCAGAGTGTTATGTACGACAATATGAATAACCCCAGTGAGTTACTTACACTAATCTTCTTCTATTGAAATTTAAATGAAACTAAGCCGGTGTGAATTTCGTTTTGCTTTCAGTGCCGTATTTTCCGTTCGCTCCCGGGTATGGACCCTTCTATCCTCACGGGCACCACTTTGAGACCCCGCCTTCACCCACGAGTTCTGCCAGATCGCTTCAGAATGCAAATCGTCAAAGAAGAAAGCACAACACGGATGACAACGCGTCGGTCGCAAGTTCGAATCGTAGCAGAGGGAAATCCACGTCTTCGGGACAACAGAAGTCTGTAGACAATGAATCCATGGAAATTAGTTCGGAGGAAGAAGAAGATGACGAAGAGGAGGAGGAGGAAGAAATAGATAATAAGAAAAAAAGTGGCATAAATCAAAATTCAGGAGTAAAAGTGGGAGAAAGTAAGTTTCAATATTTGTAAATACACGCGGACACAAACATACAGACACGAAGACACAGCCTAAGCACACAGATGCTTGTAGAGAGATAATTGGGATTCAATTGAAAAAAATTGTAGACCTATAAATTCATCCGTCCGACTGTCTGTTTCTTAATCTCCAGAACGGAGCTAGATAGATGAAATTGGAGACCGGATATAGGGGTAAGAGGCCGAGATAAACTATACGAACTTCCAATGAAAACTGGAAGTTACGTTATTTCAATTCAGAAACTCCCCCCCCCCCCGAAAGGCGTTCGATAGATGACGGGCACGACTCTATTGTTAAAGGAAAAGTATGATGCACAGGGGGCAAGCCACTACTAATTTGAGGTGGAGAGCATATATTTTAAATTAAATAAATTAAAAATATGATTAAAAACTGCAGCCCTGCATTGCGACGATGTCACAATAAATAATTGCTCTGTTTATTTGTTTACGGGAATAGGACACAGGCGATCTGCAGAGGGGATGGCTCCAGAAAACTATTTAAGGAAAACTGGCTACTATTTAGGTTTTAAGATGAATTTCTTTTTAGATTCAATTTTACTCTTAAAGCCTCTGAGGCGGGATACAATATCCACGTCATCCCCATAAGTACGCCATATCTCATGTCATTTTATTCTTCATTCAAACCTCTCGTCGTCTATCCTCTTTAGGAAACCGTGAAAATGGCGACTCTGCAACAGCGAAGACGTTTTGCGTTCTGCAGTTCGCGAAGACGGAGTCATTCGTCATGTGCAACATGATTTTCGCAGACAATTTCAAAGTAATCAATCATGTAAGACATTCTTTGGTGATATAGACAGTTTCAGGAGAACACAAAATGCACTTTAGTAGAGTCGCCATTTTTGTTTGAGGGGATTCCTACAACAAGGAGTTTGAGTGCAGATGGATGATGAAACACATTAACGATTATTGTACATCTCGGGTAAATAATAACACAATTACGGTAATTTAAAACGGTAGCATTCATTTTGGAAGATCATGTATCAGTGGCACCCGCAGTCTATAAATACAGGAGTACAAGCTATAAAAAATGGCATCATGCATCATGCAAGAAGCTTCAAACTACGATTTTATGTAGGATCAGCGCTCCCACAACGTGGAACTACTTGCCAATCGGGACTAATAAGGAATATTCCTTGTTTTTGTGGCCAATTTTCGGTCAACGTAGGATGAAGTTGCATGGGAATTGGACAAATATCATTCGTTTCCTTTATATTTTATTTTTGCATTTTCTGTTGTTTGTCGATAATGAAAGTTGGAGCCTCTTGGAGATCAGGAAAACGGCGACCCACATGAAAAGGGGGCCCGTGCCCTAATGTACGGGTGTCCCTGCCATATATTATTAAAGTCCATAGTCTGATATTTAAGTATTTTTAAGGTTAGATCAATACTAGAACCGAATTAGACAATCGTTTCCTTATTTCGTAAACTGACATCTCAATTAACTGCGTAATCCAATTACGAAGCAAAATATTATTAATTATTATTATAATTAATTGTTTTAATTTATATTTTATTGATTAACAGGAAATGCCGNCCCTTTATTCAAATATTATATGGCAAACAAAAATAAATAAATCTATTTAACAGATATTTATATTTATACATGTATAATTTTTTCTGTTATTTTCTAAGAGTTAAATGATTACATGTAAAACGAATTAGCCGTATCATTCTGATTAATTGTTTTAATTTATATTTTATTGATTAACAGGAAATGCCGCATCGCCGCAGCCTGGTAACTCTCTGAAGCCCTGGACCCCTAACGAATCGTGGTCGTGCGAATACTGTACTTACATCAATCCTCCCGGAGTTCGAATCTGTACCATATGCTGCAAGACCATTACGGTCATGGGTTCGACGAGTAAAAACGTGCAGGAAGGAGATTTATTGGAATCGGAAGGCGCGGAAAGCGCTCCGTTATCCAACCATGCCGATTTGGCCGCCGAGAGTAACGTTACGCAACTGACGTCGGCTCTAGACGAAGCCGAAAAGGTACGTCTGCACGCCTGTTCGTAAACTAAAATGTAATTAATAGTCTGATAAATCAGTGATCTTCAATCGTTAATTGGGCAAAATGAAATTAACGCTTCACCACGTGTTACTCGTGTATTGTCAAGTTAACCGTTATAGAAACTAAACTGGTGTCTTTTTCAAATACATTATTGTTTTGAAAACACGAGGGCAGTAGAGATTTCACCAATTTGTAAAAGCCAATACGGTATACAATTCTTACTTACGAGTGTACCTGAATATAAAACAAAACACACTTAAACAATTTTTGGGCTACTCTATGTATACACAGGGCCTTCCAAAAAGAATGAAAGACTCTGCGTGTATACAGAGTGGAAACTCTGACATTTATTCTATCGATTGGTGTACGTCACCTGCTTCTCGGATATTTATTAACATAATTACAGTAATTTAAAGTAGGAGCATTCATTTTGGAAGACCCTGTGTACCTACACACAATTTCAAGGTGTTTTTGTCTTACTCTTTCCACCCCGTGGGCACTAAAATGGGTTATAAGAAAGGTTTTGACATACACCTAATTTAAACTGCTTTTCTTTTTATTAAAAGGTTTGCAATATAACCGAGTTGAAAAACACTGATTTTTAGATTACGCCTTATGTTATTTAGCTATAAATTATTATTAATTTCACATTTATTTTAAGGTAAGTGAAACAATACAAATGTTATAAGTTTTCTATTGACATTTTTTGAAGATACTTTATTACTGTACTTTGAATTTAAGATGAGTTTCGACTTAAAAATGTAAGACGTATCCCGACTTTAAGTTTGGAGATTACACGAGCAAGTATTAAATTCAAAGTAAAACAGTAGTTTAGTTTATCATCACAGAAGAATTGTTAGAATATATTTGTAGTTAGAAAACATTCGTAAATTAATTGGAGTCTTGACAACTTACCTTACCTTTTTTTTTACTTCATACGAACACAAAATTGTAACAGAGTTGGTCCTTTTACAGCTAAATGTGTCAATTTGCTAAAATATCTCTCCGTCAAGGGGCTAATTTAAAAAGTGGGCATATTTACATTTGTAGAAGGTTTAAAAAAGAAGGCCAAGTCTAATACAAGGGATTTGCCTTCCTTTTAAAGTTCTTACCTACAGTTCCAGTTCCATTGCATAAATGCATAAAATGGCAATGGCAAATTGTGAAGACTCCAATTTGTTTGCTTGTATATATTAGGTAAACTCTCATCCCGGTTTATCATCATCCCAGGTGACCAAATGTAAAGTTTACTTACGAGGAATAGGCTCAAAACTACCAGCAGTCTTTACAACACCAATTTATTTTTTTAGGAGCTAAATTTCGAGACTTGTGTTTCTCGTGACAAATAGCGGGTCATTAACAAGGACAGCAGCGCCAAATCTACTCCTCGCAAGTAAACTTTCCACGTACATAGTTAAATTAACCTTTAATTAAAGCCTTTATCTTAAATTAGATATAATTTATCATTTTAGAAAGTTGTCTACGCTGTCTTTCCTTCTATCCTTTTTACTAATCACTTAATTCTTTTTTGAATTGCAAGTCGAATATTCCATACATTATCAAGTACACACTAATACATAATTCAGTTAACGTTTCTTTCAATTAATCTGCTTTGCTTCTATGTTTAAAATCTCATCTTTGTGATCTAAATTGATGGACACGATAACGCCACAAACATACAGGCTGGTCCAAAAGTCAGTAAACGTATAAAGAAAACCCATACTTCAGGGAGTTTTTGGAGCGTGGCAACGAGATTAGAGTAGTAATGAAACTTACTCACGGGGGTTTCGTACAGGTGTCAAAATTAGTTCCAATTATATCCACCAGGGACGCTTTGATCCGTGACTGTGGTTCAATGTGTCGGCCATGGTCTGAAGACACGCGGTAAAGCACCACGTGGTGGAGGTAATGAGAACTAATTTTGACACGTTTATGGGGGAAAAATACCCCTGTAATTCTATGCATTTTCATACTAATCTCGTTACCATAGATCATAAATTTACTGAAGTATCGATTGTTTAGATGTTTACTGACGTTTGGATCACTGTATTTCGTGTAAAGAAAAAAAAAACAGTGTGTTGATACCGTTATTTATAGCAGTGACAAATTTTATGTTGCAGAAAAGCTCGAAAGGAAGAACACCTTCTAGGTGATTTCCTGTATCGAATCGACTCGTTGGAAACCATTTTTGCAGCTCGATTATTAAAAATTTTAATGAGAAAGGAATTGAAACGAAGCTTTTTTTTAAAAAAAATTTATATATACATATATAACAATAGCTAGATGGGTAGAAAAGTGAAGATTTTGCTTATTATCTTGTGAGAAATTGAGCCATTGTTTAGATTTTATTTGATACAATTTGCACTTTTTATACTACTTTGCGTTAAGCAAATTTTGTAGCAATTTTCTCTGAAAAAATAAAAATTGTTTGGTTTAAAATCTGTCGTCTTCTTTTCCTGTTAAATTCTAGCGGCACACTTCAATTTTTCTTTATTCCTTTTCTACTCAGAATTCACACTCTGCTACATTGGTACACCCTTTTATACACGGCATGGTCCGAAAGTCAGTTAACTGGGATATGTTTTAAAATAGTATTCGCGCGCGCTTATCAGTGAACTGATTTCTGGGCCGCCATGCATGTTTTCGGAATTCTCTTATGATTTCTTTTAGTAAATAGAAGTAAAGCAATTTAACACCCGTAAAAAACACGTGTAAATCCCCGGTGAAGCGTCCGGATAAACGAGTCGAGTGACCTAACCCGTTTCAAACAGAACAGGCCACGTCATTGGCTGGCTTATCCGGCTGTAGCCCAAAGCCAATTCACCGGGCACACGCTCGTAAAGTAACTAAATTTATTAAGTGGAACACGAAATTCACTTAAAACAATTAACTTTCTTTCTTGAATTAATGTAATTATTAATTTTCAAATTTACTAACGATAATAATTAAATTATCTCTGGAAAATTAAAAAAAAAATCGTTCGAAAAGTAAGAAATTAAAATGTAGGATATTTGTTAATTTTTCTGGTGGTAGGAAATGAATAAAGAATTAAACGAATTAATGAAAGTGAAGGATGAGAGCCAAGAGGAGGGGAAAGTGAAAGAGGAAATTGAGGAAACGAAAAACGAAACTGTTGAGGCACAAACACAGAAAATTCAATATTGCGAGATAGCCATCGGCACGGATACTTTGCCAGAGCCTACGGAAAACGGAAGTGTCCACGTGAACACGAGCGAACACTACGTAACAGAGGCTTCCACAACCGCAACTACGACCCTGAACAACGTGAAACGGAGAGACTCTTCGTGTCAAACTTACGACAACGTAACACTAGCGGCTGACATGGACAATAAATTAGACGTGCCACACGTACCTCCGTTGACAAACGGATATAACGGGCACGCAGAAACGAGGACGGTGTCGTTGGGAACGTCTCCCCCGAATTATCAGAAGGAAGATGGAATGTCCCCGCAGTTTTATCCGGAGAGGAGCAATCTCGCGGGTATGAGGCGCTCCCTGTCTCGTCTTTCGTTAAATTACGGGCCCAGACAATCGGAATTTCGGCAGCAGCAGTACCAGAGTCAAGATTGGTTGGGTTACGGAGAACCGTTATATAGAAGTGTTAGCCAGTCCTCGTTGACGGGTGATTCGGTAAGTGAGATTTTTTCCGTTAGATTAAGTAAAAATTAAATAAATAAATATCCCACAATGAATTCGAATCCTTAGGATATATGGAGTCCTGATTTACGAAGGAAAAAACCGGATTATTATTTGAGTATCGAAGAGTTGGTGGAGAGGCGTCGACAGGAGGCAATGAGAGCCCAAGGATTAGAAATTGTTCGCATGATTCGAGTAAGTTACGTTTTTTTGCAATTTTAACACAACACCAGTGGCGCATGCAGACGAGGGCAAGGGGACCTGACTCCCAGTTTTAACATTTGTGGGTTCGCGCCTCGCCGACAGACTGGCCATGGGAAGTTTTCTTTATTTTCTTCACTTATGTAACACCTACATAAGGGCCAGTTTCTCTATTCCTCCGGGAGAGATTGCTGGCCCACGTGTGTGGTGTATACAAACAAACAATTACATTATTTCTACTACCAGTGCTGATATACCAGAGATTTAGTAAACACAGGACGGGTGGAAAGTAACTGCGAAATCGCTATAATTTCTATATTTCTAAGGAAAAAGTGATAAAAATTAATTGACACGTACCTTATTAAATGTAAATACGGATGCACACCTTAAAATTTAAAATAGGCACCAGCGCCATCTACTAACGACGCGTTTACCACTTGGACGAACGAATACTTCTCTGCGCTTCCACAACCGAACCCGTGTCAATTTAACACGAATGACAATTCTTGTTTGTTTCCGGACTGATTGTGGCACGACGTCCCTTCACTATACACCACCGTTTCTGCACAGTGACCACTAATTTCTACACCTAGTAGTGTGCATCAGTCTGCGCTCAATCCCGAGCGGACGGCCATTTTCTTTTCTACTTCTCTCGTTCAATGCTCACACCACCGATGGCGGAATTATAAAATTTCATTGATAGACACACGTGGATACACAACTTTTATCACGATTACACTGTTATTGCAAAAATTATAGCAATTTCTCAATACCTAATTACTTTCCAGCCACCCCGTAGCTAATACATATCAGTAAATTGTTTAAATTATGTATTTAAGAACACCAATAAACACGCGATTCACTCTAGTTTTTCCATATAATAATGTTTTCAGGAAGCTGAACAAAAAGGATTTACCGCCGACGATTTGCAAATAGCTCTAAATAATTGTGGCAAATCAAATCCAGTGGAGTGGTTAGAAAATAATTGGAAGAATATGGTAAAAACTGTAGTTACTCTGGCTACTAATTACGGTCACGACAAGAAAGAAAACGATATTGGCATTGTCTCGTCCAACGAAGCGAGGGAAGCATTAAAAATCCACAAAGGAAACATTTGGGCTGCGGTTACGGAATGTGTAGAAAGCAGACAGAGGAAAGTAAGTAGATTTCTCCTATAAACACTTCTCAAATCACCTAAAACGTATCTAAATCCTTTGTTTTAATAACTAGTTCTTGGAGTTATCGGCGCGGGGTAATTTCAGTCGCAAAGAAGTCATCGGTGCCTTAACCTCCAACGAAGGAAACGTCGAGTTAGCTTACACCGAACTAACTAAAGCCACCCTGAAACCATTCTTAATGAGGATCTGGGGTCAAGGTTCGGGTGCAGAAAACGAAAGCGGTGTTGTATTACGTCAACACAAGTCCGAAACGAGAAATTTTTATAATGAAAATATGAAAACCAATTCCATATACGATAATTTCCCTCATAAAGATGATTATGATCTAGAATTGGACGATTACGGCTGGAATGATGGAGTGAGCGATGCATCTTTTCGTGAATACGACAGTAAACTGGACAGTCGTAGTAACGACGACGATTACGAATACGAAAACAGCTACGATTATCCAGAATCTAATTATAAGTACGACAAAAAGGGTAATTTGGTACCACGTCATCAAAACGTCGGCGATTTTCGTGCGGATTATAATGAGGTTTTGGATTTAAGTCAGCAGACGAAAGTCGTAGATAACGACGGTAAGAAGGAAGAAAGTAAGAAGAACCGATCGTCGGGATTCCTAAGCAAGTTGGTTTCGTTAAAGAAAACCAACAAGGACCAGACGAAACCCGAAGTCGCCACCAACGTCGTTGAAAATTATAAAGAGGAAGATGGTAGCAAGACAGATTCAAAGAAGTTACAAGCGGCATCTAATGAAAATGTAAGCAAACAGAAAGTTAAAAGCGAAGATACAACAAGTAGGGATGAAGATAATACGAAATCGGTAGGAAATTTGGCAACAGATGGTAATTCGGAGCCATCATCAACGGCATCCAGTCAAGTAAACGAAGTGAAGAAAGCTTCGATGAAAGCAAATTCATCTTTTTCTAATCTCCTGAAGCATTTCTCGTCGGATAAATCAGTTTCTTCTAAAGCAGAAAGTGAAAGTTCCCCGTCGAAAAACTCCACTAAGGATAAGAGTTTAACTTCTAAAGAAATTCCGGACGTAACAGAAAGAAATTCTAGTAAATCCGCACATAAAGAGGAGGAAAAAAGCGTAGAGAAGTCGGAAGAAACGGAGAATGCCACAAAATCCGAGGAAATTCGGGAAAATATCGATAGCAAAAATACTATGAAAGCAAATTTGGAAACAGAGAAAATATCGAGTAACTTAGAAAACAAAGATAAAGAAGAAGTTAAAGAAATAAAAAGCGCAACGGGTGCCATATCCAAGAATACCAAAAGATCGGAGACTTCGATGATCGGAAAAACGATCGGAAAGTTTAATTTCATGAGCGCAAAGTCTACGGTGGACAAGAAGAGTCCCGAAATTACAAGAACGATAAAGAAACAAACGGAAAATACACCTCTGAATCAGAACAAAATCAAAGAAAAGTCCATTCAACCCGTTAAGGATCAGGATTCTCGAAGCGAATCGCCGAGCAGTCTGAGTCCAACTCCTCTTGAGGACATTGCAAATATAAACAGCAAGGACAAAGAAACCATCAAGACTAACAAGGAGGAAAGTAAGAGCGTGGACGTTAAAACCGAAAGGATGGGTTCGCCCTTAGGCAAAAGGAATATTTTTAATAGATTTTCGGGAGAGAAGACGGAAGGGAAGACCCTCGGCAAGAAAGAAACACCAAGTGTAAACGCCGCACCTCCGAAAAAAGATGATATTTTGGGGAAGAAGAGGACTTGGATGACGTCTTTGCAGAAGCCAAACGAGAAGCAACTGATCTTCGAGGTAAGTACTAAATTTTCGTAAGCAGAAACTGAATATTTTTTGACAAATTTCGCTTGCAAATGGCACAGAGGAAAGTAAGAAGACTCCTAGCGGAAGAGAAATGCGACACGTACGAGAAAGCCGAAATAGCCGTTAAACTGATAGAAATGAACTTCAACGAAGAGGATGTCATTCAGGCAATGAAGGACTGTTCGTCCCTAGATCAGGCTTTCACTTACTTGCAACAGGATTGCGAATTGTGTGTCGGAATTTATCCCGCCAGCAAGGTATTCCACTTAAAAATAATTAGCAATTTTCGGGTGGATCAAAAATGTCTGTGCCCAACAGCTCAGAATTAAATCTCCAACGGACTGGAGCGGAGTTTTTCTTCACGTTTACACCTAAATAGGGGTATAAAGTCCCCACGGGAGGCATCCCCTCTGCAGATCGCCTTACCGTACGCAAATAAACCAGTCGCGACTCCCTTTGGGGTCGGAAACCCTTCCCTACAGCTTAGACTTGAAGTTTCTTTTTGAAGGCACAGGTGATCCAGCCAATCAAATTCTGGTGATTACGTCAAGAAGTAGACACAGAATAATAGATTGAACTGCCAAAATGTACTCGACACGGACTTTTTGATCCTCCCACTCAAAGTAATATCACAAATGATAAGAAAACTTAATTTATTTCCGCAGATGGTATCTATGATCCATTGCATCCACAGGGCATGCAGAGATTGCTTAAGGACTTATTTCACTATTCAAATTAGAGACCGAAACATAAGGGAGCTGATGTGCCCGTACTGTAACGAACCCGATTTAGACAACGAAGACATCGCCATGGATTACTTCAATCATCTGGACATCATGGTAAGCGTTAATTACTCCAACCGTTTCATCTTTAATTCCGTAATTTTACACTGCTTTATCGAATTTCTAGTTAAAGAAACTTATAGATCCGGACATTCACGAGTTATTTCAACAGAAACTGAGGGATCGAGTGTTAATGAAGGATCCGAACTTTCATTGGTGTTCTCAGGTAACCACGTGTTCCAATATTTTGAATATTCTTGCTACAAAATCTAATTTTCTGTAAATTTTTCAGTGCTCGTCGGGATTTATAACTGTTCCGGATTTGACAAAACTAGTGTGCCCCGACTGCAAGGCAGTGACTTGCGCACAGTGCAGAAGATTGGTACGTTTTGCAACAACTTGGCGCGTGACGCGTACAGAAGGAATTTAAATTCTCTACGTTACTTATCAACTAATTCCGTTTTTTTATAAAGTGGGAGAAGCAACACGAAGGTATAAGTTGCGAGCAGTTTACTGAATGGAAGGAGGCAAACGATCCTGAAGCGCAGGCAGCCGGATTAGCCAAACATCTTACGGATAATGGAATAGGTATTTAGTCGAGCCGGATGATTTTAATCGTAATTAAAATCTCGACAATTAAAAGATTCTCTCGCACTTTTACAGATTGCCCCAACTGCAAATTCCGTTACAGCTTAGCCAAGGGAGGATGTATGCACTTCCGGTGCATTCAGTGCCAGTACGATTTCTGCAGCGGATGTGGCAAACCTTTCAAGATGGGACAGGTGATGCGTTGAGCCAAATTTCATCTTTCTCTCGTAGATTAAGTTTATTTAATCTTTAAAATTATGCTTTGCAGAAATGTACGGTTTCCGATTTCTGCGCCAAATTGGGCCTGCACGCTCACCACCCGCGTAACTGCCTCTTTTACTTGAGAGATAAAGAACCCGCCGATCTTCAGAAGTTACTAGACGTATGTTAATTGTATAACTGAAAAGTATGATTCTTGGAGACATTTAAATATATTTTACTCTTATTTTTCCGAAGGAGAATGATATAGGTTATAATAGAGAACCATCGGAAGGAACAGAAGTGCAAAACGTATGCCAAGTAATGGAGCAAAAAGAGACCCCTCAAGGAATGAAGGACGATATATGTGGTAAGGAAGTGGAGCAGGAATACGCAGGACTTTGCAGGTAAATACTTTTCATATAGGGTGTTCCTCGAACGTTCCTAGTTTTGTGGATTACGTATATGGGAAAAGAAACGTGAGTATGAGACTCCTGACCAAGGGTTCCCGAACGTTTGGACGAGATTTTTGCTCGTGGCCCTTCACTACTTTGCCTTTTCTATCCTATTTCCCTCTCTTTTGCACCAGGTGCAATAAGAGAGCTTAACGAAGGGGAAATGTCAGTCTCATCGATGACTGCCATCAAGAGAAATCGCCTTGGACTTGAAAACGATTTAATTGCGTGTGTTTCGAATGCACAGCACAGATTCAGAAGATAGTTTCTGAGAGACAAGCACGTGTTTCAAATTTTTTGTTTTATTGTGTAGGGGTCGCGACCAAACTTTGGGAACCAGAGCTCTAGACAATGGTAATATCTAGTACATTCAAAAAATGAAGTTACTATATTAAATTAGTACGTTTTTCACACATGCTCCTGACGTACATCCGGTCTTGATTTTAGCACACGTCCTTGCCAGCCTGTTAGGAGTCACGCTGTTAATGCACGCGGGGCTCTCGTGTCTGGCACTTTTATAGCGTACACACGATCCTTGGCGTGCCCACAAAGAATAACATTGAGAGCGATGATGATGTGTGTTCGAACAGACCAAGAAAAGGGGGTGTCTAGCGATCTAGACAGCAGCAGAGACCCTTTCGAGCGCATGCACGTGAAACTTGGAGTATCGACCAACATTCTCAAACACGTTTTATTCACATACACGAACAAATGGATTTTACAGAATAGTTTAAAACTAGGGACGTTCAGGAGAACACCCTGTAATTTATTCAACAAACAATGGTACTGTTGGTGTATATCCGAGAAAAACCTTACTGGATTCTGTAAAGAATGATGTCCAAAGTGCATTTACTTAATTAATTTTATATTACTTTAATTAATGTGACAACACTACAGTTAAGACACGAGAATTTCGTCGAAATTAAAATTTAAAGCCATTCAAATGCTCGCGGCAACTTTGGACGTCATTTACATTCATTGGCATTCGCAATCCATTTACATTTAAAAATATTTAATTTTCAGAATCCATTATGTTGAATATTTGGGTAATTTAGTCAATAAGTACAACATAGACCCTCTACCCATCTTCACAGAGGATGATCTGGAAATGGTGTTGAAGAGGGCCCAGATACGTCTGCCTTCTAGGCAAAACCACGAATCTCACCAACAGCAACGTGAGAAGTTGATAAAGGTGAATATTTAATGCCTTACACACTTCTTTTTTTTCTGTTTCCGAAACGGCAGGTTACACTTCGTCGAGTATTTGGTCAGTCTCGTCAATCGGAATTACATAGATCCTCTGCCCATATTGGATCTCCAGGACATGCAGCTAGTGCTGCGCAGGGGTCAGATTGCCGTCCCGGAAAGGGACGACAAGGAAGGTGACGAACGCTATAGGGAGAAACTGACGAAGGTTTGTCTTTCTGGTGATCATCGGTGGCTTTAATACGTGCATGAATATGGTTTGTGTGCATGAATTTAACAATACCATGTGCGGTGTGCCTCTAGAACAATTTGTGTATTTATATTTTTATTAGTAGTACGTTTAAACTTGTGTGAATTGTGTAGATGAACGATTTCTAGAGGGCTTATTATAGTCGAAAATACACTGATACCTCGTACTTCGAATTTAATTCGAATTCCGAATCAATTTTTCCCATTACAAATAACGGAAAGCGAATTAATCCGTGCCCGCCGTTTGCCGAGTGGATAAAACCAGTGAACACTAGGTTTAGTCGTGAGTTCGAGCCTCGCCGTGTGAAGTTTACCGTGTTTTCTTCGCGTCAGTAACGCCTAAATAGGGGACAGTTTACCATAAATGTCATCCCTCGGCAGATCGCCCACGTGTACCTTGCCGTAATCGAATAAACCAAACCAATTAAAGCGTTTCCAGACCCTAAATGATACTCATTCCGTTAACCTTAAACAGCAACTACGCATAGTTTAAGATAAAAATAACAGTTAAATGCTCTAAAAACATATAAGCGTAACACAAGAGGTGTCGTTTACTTTATATAATAGTAAAAAGTCCAATAGTCGAATGGGCGAACGGTTAAGGGGCCCGACTTATGATGAAATTCCTCTATACATGCTGTATATAAGAGGACAACACCAAATCGGACCCCCTACCACTAAGTAATAATTAGTAGGGATCCCATATACACAAACTGCAATAAGGGTGTAGAAGAACGGCAGTATGGGCACCGCGGACGTATGACTTCTCACACAGTTTGTTATATACAGGGCATGGCCCAAAAGTGGCTTAACCAGTAATATTTTAAGAACGGTCGAAAACAATTTGGAACAGCCGCGCATTTTTATTTGCGATTCAGTTACTTCTAGTGAAGCAAACGAATGCATATGTGGTGTTAACTAACTTTTGGGCTACCCTGCGTAATAATAATATAAAACATAACGCTTAAAATTCTTATAAAATGTATAAAACAAAATGAGCCGTTATTATTAAGCAATTGAATTTTAAAACCGGAATTTAGTTGTGTGTTTTTAAATATAAAAGATTAATTATTAAATAAATTATTGCGCGACCGGTAAGATGTAAGAAAGTACTACTTCGTTGTTTGGAGAGTTGAGAAAACTTCATGTTGGTGAGCGCGAACCCGCGACATCTACTGGCACTTGGGCAAACAAAATTTGCAACTAGTACACGAATTAGTCCTCTTTTTTTGAATCCTTCCTCAGCTTAACTGATGTAGTCTACAGTTTTGAATAGTTTTAGGCGGAGAGGCAAAAAGGGAAGATTAATTCCACTAATATTTGGGTAACTGTGACAAGGACCCCCGAACTAAATCACACATATTTTTCATATCCAATCAAATACAATCGGTGCCTTTTATGGCACCAATTGTATTTCTCTGCCGCCAACAAATCGTCTACTCTCCAAATAATGATGCAGTTACGTAGAGATACGAGTATAAAGAATACAATTTATGCCCAATAAAATGTTGCATGGTTTGAACTTTATATTTTCTTAAGTTTAATTGTTATTATTAATATCAATTTAATTTACTTTGTTAAATTTGTTTCGTAAAATACAGAACTATCGCCACCACCCTTTATCTTCCCTTCGTAACATTTATAAAGTGAAGATTTACGGGGAGAGGATCGGAGTAGCAAGAGGGACATACATCGATCCGAATGTAGCAGCAACAAAGTGATACTTGGATCCCTCGAAGTAATAAGATAATGGGATTTGACTGCTGGTTTAGTACGTCCGAGAATCCGACCACGGAGGATCCAAGATTGAGTTCGAGTCGTATTCTCGGACATATTCACCAGCAGTCGAGTCCTTTACTGCCTAATTGCCCATTGTTGGCTCCGTTCCGATCTCGCTAATTGCCCATTGTTCACTCTATTCCGACTAACAGTCTTTTATAAAGGCCCTATAAGTATCCACATAACGGAAAAGTCAGCACTATACATAATAATCGCGACGGGTTCCGTGTTTTACGAACAAAACAATAATTTCACGCCTACACTATCATTGTTTTCTCAGTTCAGACTCACACTTTTACCTGTGAACGAATAAATACAAAGGTTTTAACCAGAGAAAATTTTTTATTTTCAGCTGATTCAAGAAAAACTTCCGTTAGAAGTGCCCGAGGGAAGTTGATTCCGCAGTCGGGGGACAGGACCGATTCGTATTGTGAAACATCCAAAGGGCAGTTCCCGTTGGAATCGTTTGGACCGAGACTCGGTCCGGGTCGGAGACGTCGCGGTCGAAGGACAGTTTTTGTAAGTCGAAATGCATTTCGGGAAATCTCTTCTGGCAAGAGACCGTCGTTCTGGCAGAATGGTAACACGTTTAAGAAAATAGTAAATTACGAGATATGATTATTATTATTATTAAGTAATACATATGATTGTTAAATTTTAAATAACTTTACGCTTGTTCTAAGAATATAAATGGTGTAATAAATGTTTGTGAAATTGTTTGCCAGCTCTTCCGTCACGGAACGTTTTAACGGTGTTCGGCAATGACACAAAAAATTACAATGGTCCCATGACAATTTCTTATTCGGTTCTGCATACGGTGGTTAGATCTTTGGACAGAACCTCAGGGAGTTGGTTCGTTATCCTATGGATAAAAAGGGCAATTGGCTGTGGCCCTCACCAAATCTTTTACAATATTTGCTTTTACACTCATTGCTATAGTAACAATATTGAAATTTAAATTTGGCGCCGTACTTGGAGAACCTAGATTGCCGGTGTAGTGCACTCTAGAGCTCTCGTTACAAAAACAAATGAATACCAGGGATTCTCCCAAAAATGTCTTTAAGTCAACACTATTCGTGGGGCCCCTAATTTAAGTTTGCTTGGACTCCACGAAGCTCTGGCCCAATAGCCTAGTAGCTATGACCTAATAACACAACATTGGCCATGATATACACTATACAATGTTGCTATGCTACTTCCATTGTTGTATGACAATGCACGCCTGCATATAGCAGCAGTGCTTCTGCCACATCTTCAGACCACCAAAAAAAGCTCTCCAGGGCCACTGGTTTGCAAATGGTGTCGAGGTCGGAGATGCCATCAAAGATCAGTTCCGCAACCTACCAAGGATGTTCTTCAATTGGTATCCAAAATATAGTGGTGTGTCAGGACACTTTGTGATAAAGTGACTGTGTAGCAGACAAGCAGCCCAAGCATCACCATTACTTCCTGTACATTCACATATTCCAACCAATAAACCATTAAAAAAAAAGGATTAAAAAAAATCTCACTTTCATTTGGGTAACCCACATATACACAAAGCTATTAGATATTCGGGTTCTTAAAAAGTTTCTGCAAAAACTATTGGTATCCTGATTAATTATAGATGCCAAGGATACTTTCATTTCCTGAAAATCCTTGATACTTTTAAATAAATAAACAGCTTTTTCTTTCATTAGAGGAATGCATTGCATGGTTTATCATTTTACATCTAATTGTTTCTAGAAAGCTTGATTAGATAATGTAACCTTGAGTCCTGTTTCATCGCATTTATCAATTATTCCTTTATAAATTGCACCATTAACCGAATCACCAGTAAAATATGAGTAGTAGTGCGACACTGCTCGTTTTCACCTACTTGAAATTCCACTGAACATAAATTAGGAAATCTAAAATATAAATTCAAATTTTAGATTTTGTAGCTTTTGGCAGAGTTCTCAATGAAGGTAAAGGATACAACTGACACACTTTGTACACACTGTTCCCACAAGCAACGTGGATGCTAATGTACAGTCGACCCCCCTATAAAATATAGATACGTTCCAATTTATTAGGAATCCGATTTCTTACAAGTCGTTCCAATCACAGCCCGACACGTGTCAAGTTTACGGACTACGGCTGATTGAAAGGTTTTCTTCCATAAAATCAATCGATTCTACACTAATCCGACTCAACATTTCCAAAATACGTATATTTTTTCGTAGTTTTATAGGAATCGTAATTATAGGGGGGGGTCGACTGTAATTACTTCCTTTAAATTTTCATCTTTGTTGTTACTTATGTCAATGTTCTTAACTGATATGGATAATGTACATTCAATTTTCTCAGGTTTCTGTATATTATTGGGTTGATGCAAAAGTTTCTGGAATTTTCTAAACCTCTATATAAAATATGTTGTTCTGTACCAGATGGCATCTAGAAGTTTCTTGCAGGATATGTAAACAAAGGGTGTTAGGTGCACAGTCGTAAGTGAAAGACATTCTGTACACCAAAACAGGAATTGCATCGGTGCAAAGATGTGCTGCAAATTTGGTGGGATATTTGCAGATCAGTCTGCCGGGAGATGCTTTCACGAAATACCACCGAAACTTCCAAAATATAATGCACTCTGCTACGATGTTTGGCCAATGCCATCCACACCGAGTGGCCACAGATAGATATTGCATTTTCGTGACAACGCAAGACCACATGCATGAAGGATGACTCGGCAGAAGTTGGTTGATCTTGCAGGAGACATGATCTCTCAAACCCAATATGGCTGAAGTGATGCTTTGAGGTAATGGCTTTGAATGTAATGTAAGAAGGTGCTTTGAATGTAATGGCAATTATTTTCTTGAATAAACCATTTTTTGTTTTTGAAATTAACGTGAATAAAATTCCACAAGTTTTGTATCAACCTAATATTTTTTATGGACAAAAGCCTATGTAAGGAGAACTCATTTTCTTTCTTTTGGCGGGTTACAGTGAATGTGGATATGGCATCGCATTTTAATTCCCACTTTCCGTTTTCTCCTGTTTTTCCCACCAATTTGGAGAAAAGCAAACCTGAGAAGTAAGAAAATAAAGTTTAATAGTGATAATTAACAAATATAAGATTTTACCAGCCACCATTATCTATAAAAAAATTATGGAATACAAACTTCACTTCACACAGAGCATATCCCTGTTGGAAACCATCCTTCTCTTTTGACCTTATCAGCCCAAAGTTTTGGGAAGTTTCCATCAAGTAACTGCTTTCTGATCCATTTATACAAGAAAATGTTCAACAAACTGTCATTTTCTACAAAAGAAATTAATAATAGTAAAAAATGATTGTTACTAGAAATCCCTAGATGTGGCTTGTGTTAAAATAAGTGGAAGGAATATGGTGCACCCAATCGGAAATGGTTAAGTCACAGCACACTGTACGTAGAGTGACTAGTCACCGTAATTCTACACAGAGAGACTATAACGAGAGTGGCCACACAAATAGCTTTTGCCATGTCTTTTCCAAACTGTTTATTTAGCCATAACCAGATACACTTGGTACAGGGGAATAATCTAGGCATGGCTATTTAAATGGAAATTCAGACAGAAGAAATTAAGTATTTTTGACTTTCGGAACTCATTTATGGAACAATCCAATTTCTTATCCTGAATTTATTTTTATTATTATTTTTTTAAATATTGAAGACTAAATATAAATAAAAAATTTGTCTTCACACATCCTTCAAACCACCAAATGAAATGTCACCATTTTCATTTAAAGTGCTTTGTAGAGACAGCAGACAAGATACGTATATTCGGGTGATAGACAAAATCAATGGAGTGATCGGACTGGTCACTCCATCGATTGACATATGTTACTCTAACTGAGAAGTATACAATGTAATTACAGTAATTTAACATGGCAGCATTGTTTTCGGAAGATACTGCATTAAACTATATCAATATTCATATTAATTTGCATATACGTGTGCTTATTTTAAAATACTGTTGAACATCATTTTAAAGCAAAGTATATATATTTAAATTTTAAGCAATTTGGACTGTTTTACTAAGAAATATATCATCCAAATACAAAATAAAAACTTTACGTACATAGCTGATTGTTAATACTCCATTAAATAACAGCCAATGGTTACTTTCCCGTTTTCCTTTTAACTGTTGTTTTCTAAAGTTTACGACGTGCGGGATCTTTTGGAAAAACTTTCGCAGAAAATCCTTTCTTGCCGCAATTTGTGCAGTCGAAAGCGGTGCATCCAGTCACACTCTAAGAATTATTAAAGTGTAAAATAAGTTAAAGCAAACATCCTATTTAATTAAATGAGTATCAGTACATAACTCTCATAAAACAAACCCGAAAAGTTATGATTAATACAAACATAGGGTATATATATATCGTCATTAGCTGAAATATTGTCTGTATATTCTTAATATCACTTACCTTTGTTTAATTTTGTTTGCAGACGAACATTTAGATGATTTACCCACAAAGCTTTTGTTCCAATCTCGCCGACACTTTAATTGGAAGGAAAGTGGTTGCGTGGTTGAAAAACTGCCAATAAGAAAGCACCATTTATATGGCCATTGTAAGCACTCCAGTTCTATATACTGTTTGGGACATTGTCAATCTCTATACACTACTAAAATAATGACCAAACTGTCCCTCCGAGAAAACCATTTTGCCTATCTGTGTCCATTGCAGGGTCCCAAATTGGCACCCCACAACTTTCTCATTTTCCAAAGTCAAAGTTATGGGAAAACCACTTCCCATCTGCACTGGTAGTAGTCAAAGCTCAGAACAATTCCAAAGAATGTCTCTAAGGATAATACATTATACCTATTCAGGAATGGTAAGAATGACACTCTTATTGAATATGAGGAACTATGACTATGTTGAAAAAGACCAAGCAAGGATGCTACACTGATACACTGCCTACAGGACACACTACCAATGTTTTCGATACTGTACTTCCCATTCCAAGCGACCAGTCTTGTGTGTTTGTATATATAACGATACCCCAATGTACTTGTCACAATGCGACTAATTGCTTCCAAAATCCACTATATCGAGAGTTTCAAAACAAGATCGACACTTTATTTTTCCACTCCGTGCGAACCAAATTTCAAATTTATAAAATGACAACAATCAACTGGAATACTTAAATACAATTTTATTTGCATTCTAATACATAAAATCATAATAAACAAGATTAACATTTACTATTAACATGAAAATCTCCACATTTACACATAGATAAAAGCTAGTATAACAAAGTCTTCGATTTCTTGTGGCATTTTCTCCCATAAATTCACTGCTGGGAAACGCCCGCCCCGCAACTCTCGAAGCGCGGCGCACGTTCGATCTAACTACAGAGCGCACGTGCATATACGAAATATAAATACAAAGCTCGAGAGGAAAAAAAAAGGAAAAAACATCGACAGCGTCATGCAACTACTTACTATTTCCTGAGATATGCTTCACATTTATATAAATAGAATAAAAACACCACGTTTAATACTGCAATTGTCTAGAATTATTCTGTAAAATGATAAAATATGAATATTTTGCAAAGTCTCTAATCTCCAATTATTATTATTATTATTATTGTTACTTGCAAGCACGTACAATGGCGAGGGGGTATATTATCATTCTCTCTCTCTCTCCGCAGTACAGTGTTTTTTTTTCTTCCAAATATTGTTTAAAACATTAACGAGGAAGTAATTCCTAAAAATAATACAAAAAAACTCGAATATTTTATACTTTATATAAATGCAAATATTCTACCAGTGAAAGTACAAAAGACGAAGATGCTAAAATTCGTTTTTTTGGAGAACCTCAGACTATCAAATTCTTTCGTCGTCTCTAAAAACTTTATTCTTTATCGGCATTAAAACACATGTCGGAAACGATTATTTATATACTATATTTTTGATTATTTAAACAATTCGGTCCTTGCCGCCTCGTCGATCATATGGGGTTCTCGAAAGTTTTACTTTTATTAGGTTCTCGATTTCATATTTTTAAGAAGTCATTTAAAAACGTTTCTTAAGTATTTGCCATCTGCAAAACGCATCTAACGGTATCACACGTTCTGTTTATAATTACAAAACTTAAGATAATATGTAGCAGCGTGCATTTATTCTACGAATGATACCGCTAGACTGCGATTTAGTCATAATATTACAATATTTTTACAGAAATTTTACAGTCAAACTTATGTATTTTTACGGTAGAGGATTAAAATTAACATAGGTTTTTCCATTTAGTTCTTATACGCTGCCCGAAAAACCTTAAAAATACCGTACAATTTTGTCCAAATTTCAGGTAATCATAAAGAAAAATTTCTGTAGAGGAATGTAAATATCCATCTTTATAGCTTATAGCAAATATATAATAATATTAAACTATTCTAAAAAAATAACAAATAAAATCAGTAAAAACTATACAGTGATAAGCAAACGATTCTACAAAGAGAATGAGTATTGTAAGCTCAGTTGTCTCCCGACTTGACTGTATAAAAGTTTCATGGCATCACTAAATTCTATGAGGGAGGAAAAAAAAAGAAACAGAAATAAAAATAATAAACGTAAACATATATACAAGTAACACTTTCATAAATTGTGGGTTTTTCTAAACATCCGATCGCAAATAACCAAACAGCATAAGGTCTGTCCACAAGCATAGTAGAGTGCCGATGTTCCCAATGGACTGCCTTTAATTTGAAAAAAATCACAGATTGTTATCCACTTCGGCACTGCGTGGAAAAAAGAGGTCCGTTAGTCGGGAATCCCGTTGGTGGGCAGTCGACAACGTGACTCTCTCACTGCTGCTGAACTACAGGGCCGTGCCAGTTCAATTTCCAAATAAATTGCGTTTGGTTATCCAAGTTTACCAAGTAGTTTGTCAAAAGGAGGTTTGTAGGAATGCAGCCAAGTCATGATTTCTTAAATGCCTTCAGGTTGTGCGAACTGAAACATAAATCGGATAATTATTGCACAATCGCAATTACACTATAATGTTAAATAATTAGAGAAATGCTAATAAATTTTCGAAATTTTAGCTTTAGATTGGCGTTTACCTAATAAGCTTTTCCATGTGTTTGTTAGCAATGCAGCTTGAAACAGAAAAAGTTAACTTAGAAACACGTTTTAAGTAATTTAAAACATTTGCAAAGTCAATTTTTTTTGCATGCATCAGTATCAAAGCAATAGACTTTTGTACTTACTGGTTTTCGATTACGTGCTGCTCGTAGATGGCATCGTTATCCGCAACAAAATTACACTTATTGCATAACCGCTTGCTGTGAACCTTCATGACGTGCATGGAGAGTCGTTCGGTACGAGCCGCTTTGTAATCACATAGGGAACAAGAGAAAGGTTTGATGTGCGTATTGAGATGACGACGCAGACACCAGCTGTCGACTCCCTGCCAGGGGCAGTAAGTGCAAACGAATGTTTTCACCTGTTTGGTCTTCTTTGATTTGGAGTTTAGTTTGTCGGAAGACAGCGACGAATTAATATTTGTCAGTGTCGATGAAGAGGGAACTTGGGTGGGCTGCTGCTGATGTCGCACGTTGGAAGGAGCGGTTTTCGCCGGAAAACGGTGGATGAGAGTGGCATCGTACACGTGTTCTTTGTGGATACGAAGGAAGTGTTTCTTCACGTGATCTCCTCTGTTAAACATCTTAAAACAAACATAGCAGTGAAATGGTTTCTCGTCCTTATGTATATTTTCGTGCCGATTGTATAGATCGCGTCTGTCTGTAGCATACAGACATCTGGAACACACGTAACGCTTATTTTTGTTATCAGCAATCTGTTTCTCTTTAGTCTTCTTCTCCACGCTGTCTTTCAAATTCTGAAGAAGCCGTATGATCTCGTCCAGCACTGGCTGGGCCTTACATATACTACTTGCAATGCTCGAGGCAATCTGCTGTTTGTTAGTGTGTACGTAACGTGGCCACATACCAGTATACGTACAGTGAGGACACTGAAAAACCGCAGCATTGGCATGAGTACTCAAATAGTGTTCTGCTATGTGCGAGAGAAATCCAGTATTGTTACAGGCTACGCAACGAAATAGTTTTGTCTTTGGATTATAGCACGCCACGGAAGAGTTGTTCCAACTCAACTTTTCCTTACCCTCGATCCAAGTGCCCTTGTCGTTAAAATGGGAGGGATCCAAGTGCGTGACAGGGGAAGACATCTGAGCGATATTTAAACCATTCTGCGGTGCCAACATCAGCTGGGTATGAAGAGGATTTCTGTTATTGTTAGCGAGGATATTATTTCTGTTCAGTTCGATCTGTTCCAGATTCAGAAACTTTTCTTCTTTTATTTGAACTCCCAAATTGTCTATGGCACATCTTGCATTATTGTTGAATTTATCCATATTTGGAAAAGGTGGATCTTCTGCCATGTCTAGTGTATATGGTAGGAAAAATACTGAAAATAAAATTAAATTTGGGTAAGTAAACACACTATTTATTTATTTTATAACTTTCAAATTATATTATAGATAAACAATTCAAAGACTACCTCAAATAAATAAACTGAATGTAATTTGTTTGTATCAAACAAAACTTAAGGTTTATTGTCTTAAATAGCTGCAAATCAAAGTGTAATTACAACATAAAACCAGCAAATAATAAAGCAAGGCAGAGAGTACCCATACACTCAGTATTCTTGTGACCTTTGGTTCCATACTGTGTGTGCACACTTCTTCCATAGCTTGATGGTTATGAATGTCCAAACCGCTGGCATTTCAAGCAGCATAGTGGGTTTGGAACATACGGGTAAACTGGACAGTACAAATATCCTGCTGCAACAGAAGATAGTAATTGCGGTTTGTAAAAGGTGAGGATATGTTTTGTTGGTATTAACTTGCCATCTCGATCAATGCAGATATGATGAACAGCAGTGACACCTTGATCCAAAAGTCCAATCTGAATATCTGATGTGTCTGCAGACATCAGATTGATCTCAGATATCACACCACATGATGAATTTAAATGTGTGATCTGACACTAACCCAATGTTTCCAAAAGTCTTCATTGTGAAAAGCTTTAATGATTGTTGACGGGATGCTGTTTCGATCAGCAGGTTCCATGATCTCAATTTCTGCATGATCTGCATTTATGCAAATTCTGTGTTTTCCAGATGCCCAACAATCAATTCAAATAAATTTTGAATCAGGAAAGGAGAAGACTTATTGCATGCAAATGGAAAAAAATCATTATCAAGCAAGCAGGCTAATTGGAAATTTTTATATTTGTTGGAGGTGAACTTTGTTCTTTGAATCCATGATTAAAGAAAATTATTCAGTTCCCAATGACCTCACCCACCATGGAGTTTAATGAGGGGATGTCATCACATGGGAGATACCCATAGACTGTCACACTAGGGTTTCCCAGGAGCGATATATACTCTTACAATTCTGTCAAGAAGAGCACATCTTGTCTAACATGACAAAACTGTCAAGCAAGGATTTGTTCCCCGGTCTGCACAGTTGATTCCTGGCTGAGGTCATAAATGAATCAATGATTTGCTAATTGACTCAACTAGAGCTTGATTTGAGCCTTCCAGCTTATTTGTTTTCTGAAACTGTGTTTTACTATTTATTGAGTGTTGAACACAAGATTGTGTTATTAATTAAACACTTGGCTTTTTTCCATCTTTATTCAGTTGATCCCATTTATCCGAAGCAGGGGCCAAAGCAGTGTGTTGGGGATGTTATGTAGCCCCTCAACTACCAGGATCTCCCTTTCCAGAATACGGCCCACCATGCACAGCAAACACGTAAATGGGTGTTCATATCCCAGAGATAATTTTCTATCTCTACTTTACCATCTTTGGGCGTTCTCCTCACCACAGACAGGAACCCACATCAAGAAGTTTTGAACATCCCTTCTTTCTGGAAACTAGATGAACTTACTTCATCAAATGAGATGAGTAGCTACATATTTATTGCTTATTGATGATAATGCTTATGTAGTAATGACCATAGAAATTGTATCACTTGTAAAATTCAATAAAAATGTATTTATTTTCTTTAATTTGAAGTATCATTCAGACCCAAAAGAAACCACAAAGATTACATCATCCAAGACATCCTAAACAAAAACTTTTTTGATTTTCTTTTTGAAACCGTGTCCTGTTTTATATTTGTAGCGTAGTAAACAGTAGTATTGTGTTTTATTCCAAAGACACATGGCAAATTTTTCATCAAATTCTTTTACGCAAGACTCATCAAACAAAAATGCAAAGAAGCCAACACCAAGATCACAGAAAGGAAGAGAGATTACAAGTTGACTGAAGAGGGACAAAGCCCGAAATGAGTACAAAACAATGTACCGTATCGACTCAACTAATAAAAGAATTTGATGAAAACTTTGCCTTGTGTCTTTGGAATAAAACGCAATACTAGTGTTTACTATGCCACAAAAACATTTTTGCTGTCCAAGTCTATCATAGCAATGTTTCCAGCAATTGTATTGGTGTAAAAACCCATGCACTTTGGTAAGTAAAATGGAAAGTTTTTGACAGTTTACTTCACATAAAAGGTCTAATTGTTGCCTTGAACAAAGGAACACGAGAGGATAATCTCATGAAATAGTACAGAGTGTGTATTGTTATCAATCTAGAATTGTGCATTTATTGCAAAGGACATACAAACATGGCAATGTTGAAAGGAAAGCCAGATTGGGAAGGAAACATGTGAATACATCAACATCATGCCAGGACAGGTGTCAAAGCATCTTACCTTTCTAGTTCTATCAAATTGAAAGCAAAGTGGGTTTTTCGTATGGCTGCTACTGAAAATTTGAAATGGTCAAAATAATATGACACTTAAATTGTAATTGTGAAGAGTTGACTGTATTGAAAATTAATCTGAAAATGTATTAAGTGAACATCTGTAGAGAAATGGAGTTAGCATTATGTCTTATATCAAAATATATTAACAGTTGTCTGATTTCTGTATGTATGTAAGGACTTTTGATGTAAGAAGAATAAATATGGCATTACTTGTTGACTGCAGTTGGTTGTTTTGACCAAAGATTGTAAAAATATTTTAATTATTTGATTTTTGATGATGGATCACTTATGTTTTAAAATAACATTACAGAATAATTACAAATGAATTGCTGGGTGTTAAGTCCTGCAACTTACAATGTATTGAGCCAGGTCATCCATACCAGACACAAAACAAAAGAGAAATTCTCCAAATTTGAAATATACATGTCAACACTTCCTTACGACAAAGCAAGTGGCAGCTTGACATCCACTGTCAAATGTAGTGAACAAATGTAGACTATGCAGTGGAAGGAAATTTTGTGTCGAGTATGAGAAGTGCCCATCCTTAGTTATGCATAGCATTTGTTCTGACAGTGGTACAGAACCCAACTGCTAGGCCACCAGTGCATTCTGCAGTAGTGTTGACAGTTCCCAGACATCGGTTGCATCTGAAAAGAAAAAAGCAATGGAAAACCATGTGTTCCCAATGAAACTGTGAAGAGAGTTTGGGAGAATTTGCAGCATATAGTCCCTGAAAGTTAACAAACCATATCAGTTGCAAACTTGGCATTCCATAGCTGAATATACAGAAGTTTTTGTGATGGTGCAACTGAAACCATACTATATGCAGTTGCTGCAGTAGTTAAAGGCCAAGTTAAGGGCACGCAATACAAATTCTGCTGTTGTAAGCAGGGCGCATTGGAAGATGAACACTTTCACATTCAGTGAAGCTACTTGTAAGTGAAAAGGTGAAACAACATGATGTCTGGATATGGGGCAAGGAAAATCCTCATTATTTTCAAGAATATGAACAAGATTCACCAAACCTAGCATCTTTTGCAAACTTTCAAATACAAAGCCCTTTTTCCATAGAAACAGGACATGACAAACCAGTCATTGTTATATGTGTTTCAGCTGTGGAACTTAAACTTGTAATTGCAGAAAGCTGGAACAGCTGTTTCAGCTGTTCCAGCTTTCTGCAATTACAAGTTTAAGTTCCAGTGAAGTTTCAAGTCTTCCATCAGAATTGGACTTCACCTCATTGGCACACTGAAGTCAATACCCAAACATAGAACTCCCACATCACTGGATGGGGTGATGCATTAATGCTGTACAGACAACCTCCCAGATCTCGTGCCATGATTCTCTTTTGTGGAAATATTACAGGAAAAGGTTCATGTGCCATCACCTATATCTTTGGCAGAGCTCTGGGTCTGCATTACCATGATGAAGATCATTCAGGGAGACATGCTACAATATACTAATGGAAGTATTGTGCACGAAAGGAACATACACATCTATAGTTCTATAACACAAATTTGGACAGTTTATTCTTTTAATGTATCACTCACTGTTAAATCAGAATTTATCTGCACATAGCAATTCACTTCACTTTTTATATTTGAATGCTCAGATAACATTTCCACCTGTAACAACAGCTTTGCTTCAACCTTTAGGCTGAAGTATAATAACAATAATGAAAAATTATATTTCCTGCACATTTACTCATGTACAGAAGAAGAAACAGAACTTTGGCAATCTTTTTCCAGCATTGCAGCATTCTAAATTGCATAATGATCATTAAGATTGAAGATAAAAGATAAGTAAGATAAACTTTGAAGATAAAGAAGTGTTTTTAGAATACTGTGAATGTGAATAACAAGTAAATATTTTATTAAATCCAACTCCACTCAAGACATGCCACATGATTCCCCTCTATATCCAAACCCCTTGACCTTTAACCACCAAAATTTAACAGCATCAATGCTTCTTTATATACAAGCTACCATGCCAAATTTCATTTCTTAATCTTCGCCCCATCCTGAGAGATACAACAAAGTAGATGTGAACCCACACACATATCCTAGGAATCAATTTGACTTTTTGGGTATAGGAGTCATAAAACATCACGATTTCAAAAATCTGGAGGATCAATATAACATGATTACAATATTATATTATAAAAGCCAAGGAAGTAAAATCAGAGACAGGCCTTGAAAATGAAAGTGAAGTTCCTTCAGCTGTTGTTAAAGTAGAGTGCATTGTGGCAATTACTAGATGTTTAGAAAGCAAAGTAAGGCCAACCCATAAAAGAGTGAAAAACATCTTTGACAACAAGGCGAGAATTAAAATCATTTTTAAATCAATCTACAACTTGCATTAATGATCCAAATGAGAAAAAAATGGTAACTACATTTTTTTTGGGTCTATCAAAATCATGTGTTCTGTCCAAAAAATGTGATTTATAAACCAATTTTTATTGGTGAAGATTTCATTAAACACCAGTAAAATAACTAGTTTAAGTTAGTAGAAATGTTTAATGAAATTTACGGACAAAAAGCAAAAAGCAATAAAGCAAAATAAATGCCAAACACTAATCATATAATTAGTAATGAATCCAGAATTTGCAGAACACTTTAAACAAAAATAGT